CAAATAAAATTTTATTTGATTAAGGCCGTTGAGAGCCTTTACTGTTAAATCTTTTTTTTAATTTTTTTAAATTTTTTTTACTGATTTTACTGATCAATCAATTTTATCTATAGAGCATCCTTCTTACTAAAAGCACCTCTAGTGCTGTACAGATCAATAAAAACAATTACTCACCCCACATGGAAAAATGCACAAACTATGGAGAAAAGATCCAATTCAAGAAATACAGTTAAAATGACTTGACCGTACTCAGACAGGTTTTACAGTTGTCTTATTGACTGGATACTTTCTGCATTGTCTATATTCTACTTTGCTTGTTTTTTTGTTGTGACTAAATTAGGTGATTTTATTGCCAGATCACTTTTTCATTTTGCTAGATCACATAGTAATCCTAAAGTGCAAAATTAACAACCAGTCCAGGTGATCTGTATTTGTGATCGGCGGTGATCGGCCCTCGTGTGTAATTGATAACGGAATTGGCAGCAAAAAGTCTAATTGGAGGATCCCTGGGACTACCATTGGCCTTTTTTGTCTCCTTCTCTCTCCCTTTCCCAATAAGAGGCTATATTCTTTTTGGGCAACTGTGGCTGTGACCTTGCAATCAAAAGGTTGTAGGTTTGATTCCAGCTTCCTCCTGCCACATGTCGATGTGCCCTTGGGCAAGGCACTTAACCCCAAATTGCCTACCGATCTGCGTATCGGTGTATAAATATATGAGCGTTAGAGTGCGAAGGGGTGAATGTGACTCTAGTGTAAAGCGCTTTGAGTGGTCAAAATGACTGGAAAAGCACTACATTTATATGTTACATTCTGGTGCGAAATATAAAAGTTTATGTCTGCCACAGATGGTTTGAACTTCCTCCTCCTCTCTGCATCCACAATGCCTCCTTATCAACTTCTCTAAGAGTTCTGGCTTCAGTTGTGGTATTTTTTTCAGCTTTTCCAATTTTAATCAATGGCTGCACATCATAAGAAAGTAACAATGAATGAGAAAATATTGCCAAAAATCAGTCAAACTACGCAATGTCCAAAGCAAGAAGTAACAATTGTCCAAACAAAGCTATGTTCCCCCAGAAAGGCAGGAATGAAAGTTTGAAAAAGAAAAAATCTCAATACAGCTACTGCCACCCTGAGCACTCCCCTGAGCACAGGTACTTTTAAAGGGAGTTTCCAAAACTTATTAGTAGTGATGCTCTTCTCTGTTGGCAGGTTTGGCATCGCCCTGGTGATCCTGTTATACAGATTTTTGTCCCAAGTGATCTGCAAAAGTAAGTGGTCAGTGGGGCTACATAGCCATTCTCTTATTGGACATTTTGATGTAGTAACAACTTTACATTGTGCTCAAGGCATATGCTACAGGCCATACATGCCTCGAAACATAACTAAGTGGTGTTTGCACTGTGTGGTGTGTGAGGCACGCCAGTAGCCAACACCTCATCAGCAGGTCCCTTTAAAACATGTTGTCTAGGGGTATGCTGTGGTGGCGCAGGGCACAACCCATGTATGGAGGCCTTAGTCCTTGACACGGCCGTCACAAGTTTGATTCCTGGCCTGGTGACCTTTGCTGCATGTATATATTCTCTCATTACCCATTTTCCTGTTCATTAGATATTAAATAGAGGCAACTAGAGCCAATAAAACCTTAAAAAAAATGTCTCAAAGCCGTTTGGATAAAAATAGCAATGGATTTCACAAAATTGCCGTCACTGCTCATGGAAACCGATATATGCTTGTTGTAATGAACTATTTCACAAAGTACATTGACCTGTATGCATTTCCTGACCTAGCAAAAGTGC